CGCAGATCAAGTATTTAAAAACAAAATATTTAAAAGCCATGAATGTTATAAAAGTGTTATCACGTACTACTTGGGGTAGTGATAGGCAATGCCTCATGAATCTGTATTGAAGCCTCATTTGCACCCGCTTAGATTATGGGGCCGTTGTTTATCAGTCTACAACTCGAAGTGCTTTGAAGATGCTGGACCCCGTGCACCATTTGGGCATCCGCCTTTCTACGGGTGCTTTTCGCACCAGCCTTGTAGAAAGCCTTTACGTTGAGTCAAATTAATGGTCGCTTCATCTACAGAGAACTTAGATGTCCTTTGTATATTTTCTTAAGGTGAAAGCAGACAAGAAGCACCCCTCATACTCTACAATTAATGATTTGTCGAGCTCAACTCTGTTTCAAAACAGGCCTTCGATGAGGCAGCCCTTCTCAGTTCGCCTGAAGTGTCTAGCTGAAGAAACTGAAGTGTCACTTGAACACAGTTTAATGGCTCCTGTAGCATACCTTCCACCGTGGCAGTGGCAGACTATAGATTGCGATGTGTCTTTCCTAGAAATTACTAAACATGCGCCTATTGCCCGCATTCGAACATACTTCCTGGAACTTCATCACAAATACACACGTCCTGAGTTCTTTACAGATGCCTCTAAGTCAAACTCCTGTGTGTCCTACGCTGCTGTTGGCCCTTCCTTTTCGGATGCTGGCCCTCTACATCCAGGCACAAGTATCTTCACAGCGGAAGCTTAAGCGATACTTGTGGCAGCTAAACACATCAAGCAATTACAAATACAAAAAGCAGTAATTTATACAGACTCCCTCAGTGTGGTAACGGCTCTGCACAGTCTTAAAAAACAAAAAAACCCGGTCCTTGTCTCACTTTACTCCATTTTGTGCACACTCTACACACTCAAACAACATGTTGTAGTGTGCTGGGTGCCAGGGCACCGTGAGATCCAAGGCAACGTGAGGGCGGATCAGCTCGCTGTATCCGTCCACAAAAGCACCGCCCCTACACCCACATGAATCCCGGCCCTTGATCTTAAGCCGTCTCTCAAAGGAAACCTCAGGGACTACTGGCAGAGCAAGTGGGATACACACACACAAAACAAACTACACATTATTAAGCCACACCTTGGTCATTGGCCACCAGTATCGAAATCGCGTCTAACAGAGGTAACACTAACAAGGCTCAGGATAGGACACACATACACGACACACACATATCTTTTGTCCGGTGGCGATCCATCATTGTGTGACAAATGTGGTGAAGCATTAACAGTCCTTCACATGTTAATTCAGTGCAAACACTTAGAAACTCTTAAGAAAACAGCATTTTCCATTACCCTACCGACAACATATACCTTTACACCCTGCAATGTTCGTTGGTAGGGAACCGCTTTTTAGTCATAAATCATTGTTAGCGTTTTTAAAAGAAATTCATAATTTTCATATCATATACCCGGGCATTCCGTAGCACGACCTCTCCAGAGAGGTTTTTGCTGTGGTTTCTACACAGGAAAGCACTTGCCTCACGGCCCTTGGACGCAAGGGTATGAACGAGTGAGGTACTTGTGCTAATGCCATTCATGTCCACCATCGTTTTTCATTATCACCAATTTTTGTCACCTATTCACACCACACACACCTTTCACGGCATAGTCATGATTTTATTTCTTGTATGTTTTTACCCGCCTTACTGCGAGGAATTTTATGGCCCTTATATTGCCGCTAATCACAATCATTGTCCACATTCCTTGTCCCATGAACTGGCTCTCTTTGGCCATCAAATGGCCCTTGCGCCAAAAAACACCATATATCATCATCATTAGACTGATTTTTCAAGGCTCCAAGGTTATCAGGTATGAATTTGTGATTGTGGCTCATTCCTGGCCAAAAGTACCAGCCATTTCAGAAAGAAAAAATGTTTGTAGCTTCTTAAAGTTCATAGAATGTTGTTGGAGTGTTGTTTGTCTGAAAATTCATTCATAGAGTGTCATTTCTCATTGCAATACTAAACTTCATTTACATAATGAACAAAGGTGTTTGTGTGAAGTATTTGAAGCTCAACAATATTCTGGCAACTTTACTGCCGTATAAGCTTCAGTGTTAAATGTTTCCATTTTAGCTATTAGAGTGTGGCTTTATATAATAATATCTGAGTAATGAATATGTACTCTGTGGAAGGCATATTTTGCATCAGAATCATTTTTAGACGAGTGAAGTTTTTAAACTTGTGAAAAAAAAAATCTCAAGTTTTGCCCACATTAGGATGTAATTTACATCATGTTGTGCTCCTAACTTCAATCACGAGCAAATAAACACCGTATTTACTCGATTTTGCCGCACACTCGATTGTAACGTGCACCCGGTAAAAATAAGTAAGACATAGATTGCAACGTGCACCCATTTTTCTCGTTGGCCCGCACGATCACACCACTCGGAAAAACGACTCCTTTCAGGAGCGTCTTCCGTTTAAATATGAGGTACGGGGGAAGTTTGTGCCTATCTGACGTGCAACGGAGCATTGCCGTCACTCTAGTTTTACCGTGGCCCGATGTCAGCACGCGAACTTGCTTCGCCCCCTTCTTCTCGACGGTTGTGGTGCCAGGCATGTCGAAGCAAAGAGGCGTCTGATCAACATTCCCGATTTGCCTAAGCAGGTAGCCGTTGTTGTGCCGCAAGTTTAGGACGAACCTTTGAAAACTGTTAAGCTTTTCTTCGTACTCCTCTGGCAAGTTTTGGCCCATGCCCGTTCGCTTTCGGAGGGAAAAGGTTAAAGTTAATTAGCCTAAAGTTAGTTAGCCAGCACCTCCTCGCTGTGAACTGGCTCCGTGTTAGCCCTTTTTCTAAAGTTAACTGCATAGCCCGCACTTTGAGCAGTTCTGTCGTCACGGGCCGCTGTGCCGCTCGCTGCTCAAGCACATACTCGGCAAGCAGCTCTTCAATTTGCGGAAACCGACCCTGCTGTGGTCCACTGAAGCCTTTGCGGGAATCTTTGCTGTCGACAATCTTCTGCTTTTCTTTCCGCCAGTCCCGCACGCATGTTTCGGAAACTCCGAACGACCGAGATGTGGCCCGATTTCTGTCCGTTTCGGCACACGCGATGACTTTTCTTTTAAAAGCGGCATCGTGGTGCACTCGTCGAGTTTTTCGAGTCGGCCCTTCTATGCCGTCGATGCTAATGAACTACAAGATTACGAACTCCCCTGCACACGTACGAAGTGCCGCACATGGGAAACACATGGGCAGAAATGGCCGACGCGTTATGCCGATGCACGTAGGGGACGGCCATTTTGGAAATGCCGATGTTAATAGAATGACCGTACTATTTTTTTTTTCGAACTCTATTCTAACGCTCATGCGATTTATGAACTCGCTTAACCGGAAAAAAAGTGCACATTAGATTCGAATAATTACGGTAGTTCTTGTATCCAAAGTTTTATTTTTACATTTTTTTTGTTATAAAAAAGAAATATTTTTAAAAGTATAATGGTGACTGGGAAAACAACAAAATAATATAAAATCACAAATATCAAAGCAATAATTGCTATGGTGTTTTTTTTACTATCCAGAGAATAACTTGGCTGCAGAAACAAATTCTTCAAAATATAGTTTTTTTTGCAGTTTACTACAGTTTCAGTGCTGGGTACCCAAGCGGCTTGCATACCAAAAATGCTCGAGTGGCAGTACTGCGCATGCGCCAAGTCCCAAGTGCATGTGTTTCTGGTGACAGGAGCCGTGCACTTGCGTGGCCATAAACATCACTGCCGTCACTGACCTCCTAATAGAGATGATGTCGCTATCAGGTCACATCCGCCTCAAAATCTGTTAAGTGTGGCCATTGTCAGTGATTCTACTCCTGCGCCAAGGTGCACCAAATTGAATTCACTGTGTCATACTGATAAAAATCAACGTAATTGTTCCAAACTGTGCCAGTCTCTCTGGTTTGGGGGTTTCTATCACTGGCTATCAACTTCAAGTGCACTGCTACCTATCTCTATATGCAGTTCTCTTTTGAGGATGTTACATTACTTTTGTTTTCAGCATATTAATTTTAATACCTATCTTTCTGCTCTCCTTGTCTAATTCAGTAATTATTGGTTGCAATTCGTCCCCTGAGTTACTCATCAATGCAATGTCATCGGCTGCACGCAGGTTACTAAGGTACTCTCCATTAACTCTTATTCCTAAGTCTTCCCATTCTAGGCCTCTGAGAATCTCCTGTAAGCACACTGTGAATAGTGTGGGGAGATAATTCATGTGTCTCAATTGACAAATTGTGTTTATTCACCTGCAGAAGAAGTTTGAAGTCATATAATTGACTCTCTTTGAGTAAATTATGCTGAATAAATAAATGATTCGTTGGTAAGCCTTTCAGTTCACTAAATATAATTCTCACATAGCCTGAGAACTTTCTTTTGCATTATCTCCAGTTTATTGATATTGGTAGTCGTTGTGGTGCCCCAAACTAGTGTATAGTATGATGAGCGGGAATAGAAATGAGCATAATATATTGCCTTATTAAGGTGTTATGGAATTAGATCTGATAATTTGAATAACAAACCAACTGCTTTACTTATTTCGGAGGTAAGTTTGTTTATGTGTGTGTTCCAGGACATACTATCTTCAAACCGCACACCTAAGAATGTTTGACATTTTACGCATTCTGAAATGGTGTCCTGAAATTTTAACGTAATTTCATTATCACAAGGTTTGTTGCTTGGCCTAAATAAGACGTAATTCGATATTTTGGTATTTAAGACTAATTTGTCTCATTGTCCACCTAATTTTTTGTCTGCTACTGACACATTTTTCTCTTGGAATCAGTCATTTACTCCTAATGACCAGCGGTTATCCTGCTTACGGGTTATGTGCCCGGCAACATCAAGTTTTTGTATCGACTTACATTGGTAATGTGTTTAGAGCTAAAAATGTTATAATTCAATATAACCTGCTGTGTGTAAATTTGCTGTGGCAATATTTAACATCATTGTGCGTTGTTTTGTACAGGCTTTGGAAGCACAAATTGATTCTAATAATGCTCTTTGCCAAGCCAAAGACAACTCTCTTTCAAAGGTGAGTTATTCAGTATTTTTATTTCATACATGGTAATTTTTCTTTTATCTGTGTACCGATTTAGAAGATACAGTTTAGACCACTTACAGTATAACCTCATTAGAATAGACCTCTATAGTGAAGAGGGCTTCGATCATCGCCACGGCCGAGGAATTCTGGAATCATAAAGCGAAAAGACTGCACGATGTGTATGAGTCCTGCTTTCACCAGTGGAGAAAGAATAAAGCCTATAAAGCGCGCATCGGGATCGTAGGTCCTTTTGTGGCCATAAGACCGGAACCTACCCTTAACTTGAGGTGCAGCTAGTAAAGTTCATCAAACATTTGAGAAGCCGGGGTCGCTCCGTATCGTCCAATATGGCCCAAGTGGAAGCGGGGCGACTGTCAAGGGAGCTAGGCCTACCTCAGGGATTCCGTGCGAGCCGTGATGGCTGCACTGTTTTATGTAGCGACATGGACTTTCTACTGTTTGTGCAGTAACTTTTGTACAGCCTTTTTTATATATCAAATATGCAGGCAATACTTCTGGATTTTTTTTTTCTTTCTTGGCGAGCTGAAAGTGGGGGTGCTAATTATATGAAGGGGCGGCTTATGCACGCGAAAATATGGTGTGTTTGATTGCAGTCCAAGACTTTGTACACCACACAGTACACTTTACAAACTATTGAGTGTATTTTGTGCTGCGCAGAAATTGTTTGGGTCCTTTTCTATTAGCAAGTCAGCATATTCAGCCCAACTTGTGAGATATCGATAACGCTACAGGTACTTCTTTGTGCATTGCAACCTTCTTGATCCTATGCATGACGCCGTGTACGTGTCAGTCCATACTTAGGCAGCGTATGCGGTGACATGTACACATTTAAAGCAGATGTCAGCGTGCCATCTATGTGGCGCTTAGGTACTTCTAAATTTTGTTTGTCTTGCAGCAGTGACCCCCAAAGTGTAAGAGAGAATGACACGAACATTTTCAGTTGTCTATTCTGTTGTGTGTCACACTCAAGAGTGTTGAAGATATACTGGGAATGCGCCGAAAAATAATATTTTGAAGCAATTTTTATTTTTTAATGTACACTGATATCACTACACAATGAGCTTTTCTCGTCATGGGATTGTGCAAGATATTGTGACATGTCAATGGCAGCTCTGCACCGTGCATACATTGGTGGCACAAAAGTTGCCTGACATAACTAAAACTAGTATTGATAATGTAGCATCATACTTGCTTTGTACTAGAGATTTGTCTGCAGAGTAAACTCAGCTTCTTCGAAAATTGGTGTCGGAACCCTTTAAATGTGTTGCCTCATTGTTCGGCTATATGCCTTTTTGGGGCATGAGGTATTTTTTCATGTTAGTACATTGCTCATACCTATGTGTCCATTCATTTCTTGATGGAATCATTTGTAGTAGGATAATGCTATTTGTTTACCATATTTATTGTGTTCTCATTTTCACTACAGCTGGCACATACTCTTGAGCTTTTGGAAAAAGTGAGGCATCAGAGAGGGCAGATTTCAAGTGACCCTCATGTCAAGGACATATTTGAGATAGTTTTGGAAGTCTATGAGGAATGCTCATTGATAGCAGTGCCCACCCACAGCATTGATACTGCAGTCACTCGCTATCAAGAAGCACAGGATGCCATTCGGAAGTGCAATGACCTGGTACTGTATATATGTTTGTTATCAAGTTAGTGTTTGTATGATTGTGTGAATTCATTTTCACCATGTTATATAGGTAAGCCTTAGCATAGTGGCCTTGTACAGAAGGAAATTTTCAATGGTATAATGCCTTTAAAGGGACGTCTAAAAAAAAAAAGATTGACTGACAACTACTGTTGTCAACAATAGTATAAGGCCTTTAAAGGGACGCCTAAAAAAAAAAAAAAGACTGACTGAAGATTACTGTTGTCAATTCTGCCATCTTATATTCATTTTAGAAATAGAAAATGGAAGGTCAAAGTTGTAGTTTTTTTATTTTGTACTGAAGTTGAATATCAACCTTTTGAGGATCGAATGTCTTTGCCAGATGCAACCCGCTGGGGTAGATTTTTTTTTTAATCACTGATTTAATTTTTATGGTGAATTTATTTAAGAAAAGAAAGTCTGAGTTTTTTTAAGGTCACCATAAAGTGACAAAAAAAAAGTGAGTTGTTCTAGGCGCATGGTCTATTCATGAGTGACGGCAAGATAAATTCTTGAAAAAACTTTATATGGCTCTTAAAATTATATGCACTAAAATTAGGTGTACAGTTAAACCTGTATATAACAAAACTGATAAATTCCTAGAAAAATTAGTTATAAAAAGGATTTCGTTATATGCAGGTTTGGTACACAATTCGGAAAATAAATGCTCAATTTAAACAAAAAGGAAACTAAAAGCAGAGTTAACCCAAAACACTTATAATACAGTAAGAAAACTGCATTATTATTGTGATAGCAATTAAATGAACACTGTTAGCGGGTTTTTGGCATCTTCACCATATTTCGTAACAAGTCCAAATAGATAACCTGCCCCCACACATCGCAACTTTCACGAGCGAGGAAAAGCGCACGAGTGTTGCTGAAGCATAGATCAAATGAGTCTGCCCATTCCTATCTCCTGGAAATTGCATAAGATAACATCTGCCGCTTGTTAGAACTGCCATCGAATACTCAAACAGAAAACAGAAAGTAAACCACCCATCTTGAACGAGCATAAATATAGCCCGGGGGGAGAGGGGGGATTGCTCGAGTAACAATAATGAAGTTGGATTTTAAGGGTGGTCGTGATCACTGGCACGCTTGCTATCTCGGCGAGTATTAGTGCAGCTTCAACGTGAAGGGATGGGTTAAAAAAAGCACTTCTCCCTGGAATGGCCATATTTGCTCACACTAGCGTTTTGTAGGACTTCTGCATTATCTGATCCAAAAGAGTTGCTTGCGAATCCTACTTCTTATAACATCAAAATTTTTTCGCAATCGCGATCATTGCATTGCATTAAATTCAACGCGCTATCGTGTTGCCAGAACCAATCGGCTAATCGCGAAAGCTACCAGCTTGCGAACTCGCGGCGCGGCGCAAGACGGAAGCACATGACGAGTCGACCTCCTTAGATCCGTCATCACTGTGGTCTCTGAGATTTTCCATCAGCACCTAATCTGACATCCCTTGGTGGTGATGACACGATTCCCCGAAGTTAAAAAAAGTCACAGTTTCGACGCAAGGGAGAAGCAATGAATGCGGTAGCAACAATTTGGAATTTAACGCTGAGAAAAGCAAACAGATCGAAACGTGCAGCGCGTTGCTCTCGCACAAATGACGCACGAAAACAACACACACAGGACGAGATGGAACTAACCATGTTTACTGCTCGATACCTAACGCGCTGTTTAAACAAAAAAAGAGACATTAAATGTAATCACACGTACAGATATGAGTGCAAATTAACAAGTGCCCTAGTATTACTTTGCTGTGTTTTAAGAGCCACTCTTTGTGCAAACGGTGCCTGTAGCGAGCCAAGTAGATCTTTGTGCGCCCGGCAACTAAACGCAATTATTCCGGTCAAAATCGAAAGCATGCGATTCTCCCCACCGAAGGATAAGCATATAGCAAATCGGAAACAAAAAATAATCCTTCATTTTTTTCGCTAGTGACACGAAAGTGGCTGTTGCAAGTCCAGTAAATGGCAAACGCAACCAATGCAAAATCATCTGTGTTAGTCAATGCCTGGACGGAAATGGGTATGCTACCCTAGGTAGCAATAAATGAGTGAGTAACAAAATGGTCACTTTTTGAGAGGTTCTAAATTAGACAGCCATCAGCTTTGTGGGATGAAAGTGGGAACCAGTCAAAGGACAAAATCGAAAGTAGCTGGTGCACCACTGCAGTAAAGCATAAAAGAGACAATTGAAACTTTTTAGTAACCACACCTTATTCAAATTGATCACTGGTGACCGACGCTTTGGATCGTCGATATTGGTGTGTAGAATTGGTTTCTCGTGCACGCAGCACTTTCTGGAAGTTAGCCCAGCCACTCAACTTTCAGAATCAATTTGAACTTGCCCGTTTTGGCTACATAGTGATTTTCGATTGACTTTTGCACGTACCAATGTACTTGTGTTGTTGCAAAAATGCACTTGGCAGGTGAACTTGACAGTGCGTTGCTCTCATGCGTGTGCAGCAGTACCATCAAAGGTCTGTAATGAAAGGAGGCTTTGCAAGTCAAATATCAAATTAAGGTGTAAGCTTTGTAATCTGACAGTGTTCAGCAGTAATAATTGCCAAAAATTTATGCTAGCTATTGAATAGAGAGCTGTTGTTAGGGTCATGAAAAATTCGTTACACAAAAGTACATTTTCGAAGTTCGCCGCTTGTATAAAGTGTCGAGGTGGCCTTCTCAACCAGTTTCCAGCAACTTTGGTTTATCTTGTATTGTTATATCAGAGACAGGGCCGCATCTAGTGTCACTAGTTGCTCCTATGGCATAGTCGTCACACGCACATGGGTGCGCACCTGCACCGCAAAAAAACATGTGCAGCTCGAATCGAGTGAGGGCGAGCTTAGAGTCCGAGGATGAGAGCACCTCAGCTTCAAGATTTATGGCGACTATGTTCTACGTCAGCCTAAGACATCTGTAGCCGTTCATGTGTTTCGTTTGTTTATGGCTTCACTTCTGCTCCTCTGCAAGTGCGTAGCTGCTGATCTTTGTGCACAATCTTATAGCTACTCTGGTTATGTGTGAGGTTTGCACGTCGCTGAGGTGCGATGTGCTGGCGCCGGCTATAGAGCTCCTCACGACGAGAAGTCCACCAGAGCGTATTTTGGCTCTCGCTAAGGAACAGCACTTAACGTTTTAGAACTTCGTGCGGTATGGTTAATTTTTATTATAGGATGTGCAAATATGCAAAAAAATATGCTTTCATGCGTATATTGAAACGCCAGCCTATGCCGAGTGAGGTGGGTCAAGAGGTGATGATTGACGAAACAGCGAAGTTTATTGGACATTTGATTCATCAAAAAGTCGTTCACATCATGAGCATTCATCTATATTGCAACACCTGCAGGCTGTTATCGCCCTCCCCCCTACAAAAAAAAAGTTTACTGAAAAAAGTGTGTGGGTTTACTTGTGTCTCGCAAAAACCCAAGCAATGCTTCACTGCATGGCATAAGCAATGAAACAGTACCATGGTTCTGATTTTCTTGATCTACTTTAATAGAAACATTTTTATAACATTTTTATTTTGTATACTATTCCTGGGTCATTTGTCTTACCCGCAGGGGCGTCTGCAAAAGTAGGCGTTTGCTATGTAGCTACACCACGGACCCGAGATAACGGGGGGGGGGGGGGTTCGACTCCCTCCCACGCCTAGCCTTGCATGGCTTTGCAGTGTCTGGGGAAAAGGGGATCCTAGGGGTTGAGGCGACGCCGGGTGATTAGACCTTTAAGGCACCCTGGCCGGCAGAGGCAACACACCACTTTGGCCCCGGCTTCACGTAGACGGCACCCCAGGGCTGACCCACCCCAGGGGAAATGGGCCGTCGCCTTTTCCTATCTCCTCCTTCTTACATCTTCGTCTTCATCTCACACTTTTTATCTGTTCTTCCATCTTCTCTCTTCTGTTTACTCTCGATCGTTCCTGGCGGCAAGGGTTAACCTTGTGTATGTGCTCGGTTTTGGGCACAATATATTTGGTTATAGTGGCTGTGTTCAGCTGACGTTGACATGCCTCATACAATTTTAGGGCCTGTCATGTCCCCATGTTGGGCTCCATGGTGGGCGGCTGGCGTGGCTGCCGAATTTACACCTATTTTATGGATTTTACTTTTCTTCCTTTTCTGCACGGTTGTCCTCTCTCGAAGAGAGGGCACACCGAAGGCATTTCAAACTATTTCAAAAAGCAAAAGAAACTTTCCCCCGCTATCATGTAATTCACTGCGAAACTGCTGAAAACGCCAGAACAATCTCGCCTTTTGTTGTCTCCAAATGCCTCACCACTGCCCTTGGTCCAGGTTACCAGGCTACAAGAATGGCCAGTGGGGATCTCCTCCTCGAAGTAAAAAGTCGGGCCCAGTATGTAAACCTCTCGAACCTAGAATCGTTTGGACACATTCCTATCTCAATTACACCACACCGTTCCCTCAACATTTTTTGAGGCATTGTGTCCGATCAAGACTTGCTTGGCCTGACTGAATGTGAGCTCCTCCAGGGTTGGAAGGACCAGCAGGTGACACAAGTACAAAGAATAAAAATCAGGCGTGATTAGATGGAAATCCCAACAAAGCATATAATTGTGACATTTTGCGCCAGTATCCTTCCTGAACATCTCGAAACAGGATACTTGAAGTTGAATGTGCGACCCTACATCCCCAATCCACAACGTTGCTTTAAATGCCAGCATTTTGGTCACGTCACCAAGAGTTGCCGCGGCCAACTCAACTGTGCAAAGTGCGCCACTACAGGACATGGCACAGGTGATTGTAAGGTGGAAGCTGGGGCCCACTGAGCAAACTGCAATGGGGCCCACCCCGCATACTCCCGAACGTATCCAACATGGAAAAAGGGGAAAAAAAATAATTACAATCAAAATCTCGCAAAACCTAACTTTCCGAGAAGCCCTACGACAGGTATCTAAATTTTTCACAAATAAATCATCGTTCACCAATGTGCAGCAGGAGGCAGCAC